GTATAATCCTAGCAAATGACACTTTAGTTTTAAAGAGGCATTATCATCTACAACCTGCACAGATTCACCTAAACAATTACAATTTTTTTTTAAATTTGCTAATATTAGCTTACTAGTTAACTACTTTTGTTTATGGTGTAGGATACAACTATCTGATTTGTCAATACGAAGTCATAAAAAAAATACAATAAGCATGGTGTCGTATTGAACAGCCATGATATTTGTATTACACGAAAGTACGTGTTAGTAGCTATAATTTATTTAGGTAATTGTTAAAATCTAAAATAAGTTGTATCCTTGTCCTATTAAATAATCTCTATACATATATATATATATGTATATATATATATATAATATATATATATGTTATAACTTGGATCTTTAGGGTTATACATGAATAATAACAAGATGATTTATACTTTGATTATACAAACACATTTATTAATACTAAGTAAGTTAAAAAGGTTTTTACTTTGCATAACGTACAACACACACACATATTTTACTGAGAACAGTGTATATAAAAAAAAAAAATAAGATAAAATGATATCACACACATACATCTTTAGTGTCGACAACATAAAAATATTTAACAATAAAATATCGTGCTATCATAACACTTCCCTTAAGTAAAAAAAAAAAATATATATAAACGTAATAACAAAATATTTACAATGTAATAAAACTAGTACTAAAACAGTTTGTAACATAAAAAATAATAATGTGGTCTGCAACAATATGTGTACATGATACAGTTTGTAGTTATAATAATTAAGCATATCTAAGAGGCATTTGAATCGTTCTTTTGGGCCTGGGAATGTTGAGAGTATCTGTATTTGATATAGGTACATTGGAGGCAGGCGAGTTTGGGATGGTCTCAAATTTTACAATATTTTCTAAATGTAACGGTACGATTTGGTCAACATGTCTTGTCCAAATTAAGTCTTCCTGGAGTGTTTTTACGTTATATCGTCTAGTGCCTATACTTTCTACCACTATTGCTTTTGCCCATTTTTTGCCTAGTGAACTTTAATCCCAAACTAAAACAATTTGATCATCCTCAATTTCAACTGAACGTTTTCCACTCTGTTCAATCTATTGTTTGTGATTGGTTTATACAACGCTGGAGGTATCGGGATATAATAAGTCAAAAATGAAACGTACAGGCCTACTTAAAAGATATTTGCTGGTGATTTGTTAGTTGTAGTGTGAGGTGTATTTCTATACTGAAATAAGAATTCATTTAACTCAACTGATAGGTCATAGTTAGGTTTGGGGCATTTGATCCTTTTGATAAAGTTTTTTAATATATTTATCGCACTCTCAGCCTAACCATTAGTTTTAGGGTGGTATGGGGCCCCAACAAAATGGATAATATTTCTCCGTTATAAAAACTTTTCAAATACTTCATTTTTGAAGCATTTGGCGCCATCAGAAGCTAAGGATTTTGGGAGACCAAATCTAGCAAAAATTTCAGTTAGTTTCTTAATAACAGTTTGGGTAGTAAGATAACTAACTTGAAATACCTCAAGCCATTTAGAGGTTGCATCTACAATTACAAAGTAGTGTGATCCGAAAATTGGACCTAAGAAATCAATATGGAGCCTAGTCCATGGTTTCTGTGGCCAAGGGTATGGACTCAAAGAAGACTTGGGTGGATTTGGGCGGTTCAAGAGACAAGCTTCACAGTTTTTTGTGATATTTTCAATTTCGGAATCCATGAGAGGCCACCATAAATAAGATCTAGCCAAGTTTTTTATTTTAGTAGTTCCTTGATGGGAGCTGTGTAATTGTTCAATCATATTTGCTCTGTACTTGTACGGTATTATAACCCCATAAAAGAACGTTTTGCTCGACCGAAAGCTCGTTTTTTCTATTAAAATATTGAATGATATTTTTTTCTATTATTGTATATATTATTCATTTAACATATATATATATATATATATATTAATAGCGTTCCAAAACCATACAGCTCCATAATAATTTTTTTTCCTAATATACGACGTCTGATCATATTTTTTAAAGACCAAACAACCAATTCTCTTCTCTTGTTTGCAAGGTTTTTCAATGTTTCCCGAACTATGACAATAATTATTAAAATACCGTGTTGAGGAGACATAATTAAGATAAATAATATATTGTTCGCTAATAATTGTGATACAACTAACTTTTTGAACAACCACATATTATTGTTGAACCTCAACAAATGTACTCTTTCTATACTTCCAATCCCAAAGAATTTATTACACATTAACATAGTAGTCTCATTTTCTGTCCCTCTTTCCTCAACAAAAAGTTGAATTTATTACAATTGTTTTTTGACATAACATTTCTTTTTTTTTTGCTTAGTATAGGCCATTAAGGCCCTTTGCCGCAACTTCCACCATTCTCTATCCTTTGCCGTCTCTTCCGGATTCTCTACTCCTAACAACCTTAATTCTTGATGTACATGGTCACTCTATCGTTGTCTCGGTCGTCCAAGGGGTCTCTTTTTGTTTGGTTTCCATGAGGTTATTTTATTTAATATTTTTCCTTCAGCACGCCAGACATGTCCTGCCCATCCGATTCTTTTGCTTTTCATTACTGCTACCATGTCCGGTTGGTTGTATAGTTCATGCAAGTCATCATTAGTTCTTTGCTCATACTCATTGGGTTCCTCATTCTTTTTGGGGCCAAATATTTATCTTAGTATTTTCCTTTCAAATATTGCTAGCTTTTTTTCCTCCGTTTTTGTTGACGGCCATACCTCACATGCGTACAAAGCAATAGACCTGACAAGTACTTAATACATTGTTATTTTCGACTTTTTTGAAAGGATTCTAGATTTAAAGAGTGGTCTTAGCATTCCAAAACATCTATTAGCTGCAGTTATTCTTCTTTGTACTTTATTGTGTCCACCATTGATTGTGTCCAAACCTACTCCAAGGTATTTAAAAGTTTCTACTTTTTCAAATCTCATTTGTTTTACTAGTAATTCTGTTTGGTTATGAATTCTACGTGATAATATCATGTATTTTGTTTTAATTTCATTGATTATTAATCCCATATCCTTACTTTTTTCTATCGGGTTTGATGTTGTCGTTTTTAGATTTGCTTCTGATTCAGCTACGCTCATAGCGTATGCTACTATAGTTACTTCTGTATTTTCCTGGATTTTAACCCCTGTGTTGAATTCTAGGACAGCTCTTACTACATATTCTGGTGCTATATTAAATAGCATAGGAGATAGTGCATCACCTTGTCTTAAATCATTTTCTACATTGAATTCTTCTGACATTTGCTGATTGTATCTAATCCTACATTTCGAATTTGTAGTGTAGGTTTGTATTAATTTTACCATTTTCTCCGGGATTCAAAATTTCATCATTACAGCCCACAAGGATTTTTTTTAACGATGAACAATACAACAAATAACAAGGATGGTAAAAACCTATTTTTTATATAGTATTTATAAATAGCTTTAAAATGTGTATACAAGTATCAAACAAACAGTAAATTATAAATGCATTTTAGAAAATCAACAAAGAAAGTAGATGTTTCCTACATTTTAGCATTAAAATATTATTTTTTTATATTAAATATAGGCATTTATTTTTTTGACCGCACCTACGCTTTTAATAATATAGAAATCATTATTTGCAAATTTCTGTAATCCAATTAAAATTTTTTTTGTGGTTTTATAATCAATTTTTTTTTATTTGGAAAAAACTGACTAATATTTTTCTTAATAATTAAGTCAAAGTAAAAAAATATTTGTTTTTTATTTTGAAATTTTATTTTTAACGATAAAAAAAAAATTAAAATTAAATTGTACACGTATATGAATTTAGTTCCCTACAAAGTTTTTTTTTTATCTTTGTACTGTTCAAACTTTTTGCATGATTGAAAATCTAAATTAATTTGATGAATGTTTCTTCTTTGACTTGGTACGGACAAAAATTTTTTTTAAAATTCTATTAATCTTGGTTGTGTATGTATAAGAGATCTACTTTTGTGAGATATTATGAAAACGATTTTAAAAACTATCATTTTTCAATACACATCCTTAAGTACACTTCAAGCAAAATAACGAACAAAACCAAAAAGAACTATAGAATTCTTTTCAAAATGTGAATTTTGTAAAATGATGATTAAGAATGGATAAAAAAATAACTAGAAATAATAAATCATTGTTACTGTTATTTAACACTAAATAGTTAATCATTTAAGAGTTTAATAGAAATACTTACTTAAATTGTAGAGTTGGTAAGAGGTTGTTGGACAACAATCGGCTTGTTCAACTTTTGAAACTAAATGCACTGATTGCGACTTATGATTGCGTTTTTACTTTGACCAGAAAAAAAGAGTTCTAATAGGGTTTTGTAGTGTAACTATGATAATTTATTTATACAACAGATTCAATTTTTTTTTAGCGATTTATCATGTAAGCGGAGTTTAGATAATTTTATTCTTAACACTACTCCTAAGTAACTATGATTTTACAAAAACTGTTTCAACGGTTACAATTACTAAAATTCGAATAACGTAAATTATATAATGATGTTTTATAATTAATTAGAATTTACTTATCATTTCCTGCAATAAATTATAACAAAGTGCCTTATGTTATGTCGGAAAATGTTCAGACTTAAACGCCAAAACAGTTCACGAAATTGACATAATTTTTGATTATAATGTACATTGGTGCATTTTTAGATAAAACGTGTGCACAATAAGTAAACAGATGAACAAAAAATATTATGTACTTACAAAAAATTGTATTATTTGGAATATGTTATTGACAAAATTAGCCGACGGTTCATTTTCCGTCAGCTTAAGTTTATGAAAATGTTTTACAATTTCTGATTTTTTAACGTATATAGAGATAATAATAAGATAAATTACAATATATTATGTAATGAACAGAATACAGTAGCCAGTGTTTAACTAACGCCTAGCAACCCAACTCATCTCAAAATTAGCTCGGGGTGTGATTGGAACTTTTTGACGTTCAAGTAGTAACAGTCTCTCAAGTGATTCCGCATCATCGGTCCTGTACATCTTTCTGGCTTCATTTTTATCCGTTAAGATACAAGTACTGGTAGTTGTGTTAATTTGAATTTCTTTTATGTATGATTGTGAATCTTGTGAGCTCAAGTATAATCCTAGCAAACGACACTTCGGTAATAAAGATTCATTATTCTCTACAGCTTGCACAGATCCTGATCAAAAATTAAAACATTTTTTTTTAAATTTACTAATATTCGCTTACCAGTTACTTTTCTTTGTGGTGCAAGACAAAACTGTTTTATTTGTTAATACGATGTGATAAAAAAATAATACAATAATTTTTATAGTATATAGAGTAGCGGTTCTTTACCCACGGTCGGAAACCGTGACACCTTATACATGTCTGGTCAATTGTTCACATATCTTATCAGTAGAATACACTTTGGATAAATTTTTTTCCAACCTAACCTTCCCATATTATATTATATTACCATGCCCAAAAAAGTGCGTATATAATATATGTATGCATATTTCATAAATCTATAATATTTTGAACTGATTAAATTATTATCTTGTATTTTTACTCTTATGTCTTTATAGAAGTACAACAAAATGATAATGATAATGTGATAATATTATCGTTGTAATATAATCATACTTTATAATGCAAATAGGGGCTTAGATAATGTACAGTCTACTGATAAGACATTTGAACGAATGACGGTGATACTAGGTAACATTTGTTTCCGAGCAAGTAGATAAAGAATCGATTATTCACATAATATAAAAAAAAGTTTTTCAGCCGAGTCTGCAACCACGAAAGAGCATTTTCATGTCTCGTTGAAGTACCGAATAAATTTAGAAAAGTTGTGAAATTATAATTAAAAAAAAAAAATTACATGGAGCTTCCAGTTACAGCATAAGCCAAGGAGATTAAAAAATTATGTACATTCAAGTTTCTGGCTAAAATTGTAATGTTTATTATCTGGCCAAATGTAAATGAACATAGAGAATTAAACTATTTCGAATTTATTATCTAGTTCTAATTTGAACGTTGAACGTACAGCATATCTCAAATCTCTTATCTTCTATATCTTACCCCTATCCCCTACCCACTATCTTCCGTCCCAATCACTAATCCCATACCCATTCCCACCCCTATGACCTGTCCCCAACCCAAACCCTATCCCACCTCCACCCCTTATCTTCTACCCCTATTTCCACCTCCAACCCATCTACGTGTGGTAACGCTCTTTTGGTAATGATTTTTTCGTTACGCTTTTTTTCGGTTATTGGCCAGAGCTAATTCAATCCCTTTCCCATTCCCACCTCATCTTCAACCCCATTTCTTTTTTGGTAACGCTCTTGTGGTAACGCTTTTTTCGGTTATGTGCCAGAGCTAAGACAAATGTCAAAAAAGTGGAGCGAACGTTATTTATGTCTGATTATCAAAAACAGTATTACCGATAGGGGTCAATATAATTATTAATAGCAGATAAACCAAAAAATATTCATTTTAAATTCAAATCTTTATTAAGTCATAACAAACGAACAGAAGTTGAAAATTAGAAACTCAAACGCTAAAATTGTTTTAAAAATGTTGTCTACAGATTTATAAAATTAAAAACATAAGTTTTCATTTAAAAAAACCAAATGCTATATGCTTGTTTAACATATAAGGGTTGAAGATAAGAATATTCTAAATATTGGAAAATTTAGTAAAATATGTACCTAAAAGTTTAGGAAAAAAAAATTTTTCAAAATATTCATATTTTCCGAGAAAAGGAGTGTCCTACGTTAGTTGGATCACTCTGTATATATTTATATATAAATTATAGAGCCGCAAGGGCACTCTCCTAGGGTGAAGAGTTTAACGACCCCACATACCCTAGTTGCGTTGGGCCCCTCAATAATGGAGTTTTAGAGCGGGGTTAATCTCACTACCCTTTAAAAAAAAATCTATAATTTTAGAGCAACAAAAGCCTCGGAACGTGGAGCTTACGGATTTATGTATTGGAACGTTATCAATGTATAGGACTGCAACTTTGACGACAATCATATCGTGTATTAATTGATACAGATTGGATATAACGGTAGTTTAAGAGTAAGTTGGGACAGATCTGGTAGTATAAGTCACAAGTAAATACAATTTTTTACAGTGGCGGAGAAAAACATGAAAGGAAATTAGGCTTTGTTATTAAAGGCCAAAGTTTTACCATGTGTTGTCAAGTTTTAATCAATTAGTAATAGAATATGGTATGTGGAGTTTAAATGCAGATGGTTTGGCATGGGAAAAAAAAAGAATACAACTCATAAAAAATAGTAAAAAGAATAACGTGCGAATATTTGTTGAAAAAGCAGATGAAGTTAAATAAGGAAAAAATGGAACGTTATTAACCGAAAACGGAAAAATAGCAGACGAGTTAAAAAAATATTTAATGCACTGTTAAACCAACATAGTGAAAATACTATTATAGAAGAATGCGACTCAGTAGACCAAAACATAGAACCATCAAGAACAGAGGTAGAAGTTGGTTTGAAAATGCTCAAAAACGGAAAGGCGGCTGGAGAGGATGAAATTATTTTTTAATGCCTCAAAAAAGGAGGACAACAATTAACTAATCAGATACACAATTTGATTATTAAAGTATCGGAACATGATTAAATACCATACCCGTGGCTTATATCTGTTTTATGTCCAGTTTATAAAAAGGTAGACCCTATGGATTGTACAAATTATAGGGGAATCTCGATCTTGTCCTGTCTTAAATTCTACTCAGGCAAGTAGTTGTTGAAGCAATGGGCCCAAATGGCCTATAAAACGCATCGAAGAAGAAGAATACTTATACATATACAAAAATATTTGAAGGTATTCAAAAACCATACAACTTAATATAACAATATTTACCTAGTAAACGACGTCGAATTATACTTTGTAAAGCTTTAAAAACGATATTTCTTCTCTTATTTGTTAAGGAAATCAGTTCATCGGTACCTATGAAAATGATTATTAAATGACCCGTGTTGCGAAGAAATCATAAAAATAAACAATATTTTAGTCGCTATTTATACATAATTGTTGCATTGCATTTGAAAGAATTGTGGTATAAATAACTTTTTGTCCAACCACTTATAAGCGTCGATACTCAACAAATCTATTCTTTGTATACTTGGAATTCAAAGAATATAATTCACATCAATAGTGTAGCCAACTTTAGGTTGATGAGGTGAAATAATATTCATTTTTCTATTTAATTTACAAACATATCGTTCAAAATATCACCTTAAATTGTTACTAAGTCTCACTCTCCCTCCCTCTTTCCTCGAAAAAATTCGAATTTTTTAAAATTGTTATAATATGATATACAAAATAAATAAATCAAATCACATATGAAGCAATTATCAACTCTAAATAGAGGCTGTTAACTATCAAAAAAATCGTAATTACGTCTTCCATATGCTTCTAATGGAATTTCTGTAACAAATACATTTAAATATTATTAAGCAGTTAATAAATCCATATACATATCATTCACTCTATAACTGAAACTAAGAAGACCAGTTTTAATAAATGCAAAATATTATTTTATATTCTATAATGATAAAAATAAATTTTTTTAATTCTAATTCAAATGTTTTTTAATAGCTTAAATATTAAACATAATATATAGCAATATGACTTTAAGTTATAAATCGTAACTACAAAAATATGTAACTATTTTTTTTTAATTTTATATTTACCTGTTATAGTTTCCATGTCGCGTAGCATTATTTCGAGGAAACGATTGGCTCCTAAAACAAAAGAACTTTAATATATATTCGTATTTTTTATGATTGAAACCGATATGTCATATTAGTATTTTTCATTTGGTACATATGACTATTCTCAAAGTATTTCTTAATTAATTAATATTAAATATAAAATGGGGGTTTTACTTTGTATAGTTATTAGATTTGCTTCTTCTAAAATTTAAACAAAAATCTTGTGTGAATAAAGAATAAAAAAACTGTTGTGTAGAAACGCTTCCATAAAGTGCAAAAAACAATTATTACCCTCTAAATTTTCGATAAGTGCCCTTTTCTCTGAAATTGACAACACATAAATCAATTATATTACGTTTAATTTTCTATTCTATTATAAACATTAAGACGAATTTCAAGGTAGAAAAATCATGTGTATTAGTAACTTGGATAAAATATACTCTACTGTATATTCAATACGATAAAATTCTCTTTCGAATATTCAATTGGAATGAAATATTAAAATTTTTTTTATAAAATTCAACAAAAATTGTTACCCGGTACAGCGATCAAAAAATTAATTTTGCCTGAAATTAACATTATATAGATTAATGATATTGCATTGGATTTGGTATAGTAAATTATTACATTTTATAATTATAAATTAAAAGACGAGGTCACATTAGAAACAAATTATATTATATAGACTAGGGAGTCCTTTTGGAATGACTGAATTGATGCAGTTTAGGGGATGAGAATAAAATATATTTAGATTTCGGTGAAAAATATAATAGTTATGACACTTTTCAATTGCATAAAGATAAACTTGACATGCATTTTTTTATATTATTTTCAAATATTCTTTTCTACTCTTGTCTTTATTTTTTTTATTAATAATATACTTATGATTACGGAAATCTTGGTAGTTAAGATCATCATTGATATCATCAACCATTGCCTCAATTAGACACTCCAATGCATCTAGAATAAACAAATGAAGATTTTTGCTATACTAAAATATTAAAATTAAATTAAACTAAGTACCATAAAAATGTTTAGAATAATTTTAAACCCGACTATTTCTCCGTCGATTAGATTATTAGAAATCGCTAATTTATACATTATATTACTATGTACACTGTTCTACATATCCGGTGCATTTTTTTAACTGTTGATAAAAACTATAATTTTAAATTTACTGATACCTTGACTATAAATATAATATCTTACTTGCTTCAACTCCATCGTCTAAAGTTAAATCATTTTTTTCAGAAGCAATCTTCATGTAATGAGCTATGGTACGTAAATTAAAAAAAAATGTTTAAAAAACAGTGGATTTCAAAA